TCACTCAATATTCAAACCAGTTATCTATCCCATTTATACTTGGAAAACTTCAAATTTCAATCGAAATGGGAAGTTATAAAATTAAAAAAATGGAAATTCCCACATCAGACTAATCTGTATCCTGCGCGGGCTTGTCCTTCAAAATAAAATGAGTAAATGGGACAATGTCGAACCATAGTTCTTCTTATGCACATTAATTTCCTTCCTCGGCTCCAACGCCACTGTGGAACCACATTGGCCACCAGTGCTAAGAACGGAATTACACACTCTTCATCGGAATCGAATTCTCCGTCTTTCGGTGCAATCTGTGTTTTTATCCAATCAAAATTAGCGGAGGTATCCGGTATCCCTACTGCTTGCAAATCTTCTTCTGGCTCAAACTGGGTGCTCGATCAAGTAGGGAGGCTTATTATAATCAATTGAAGCATCAGATTTTCTTCTGACAGTCGACTTGAAAATATTTCGAATTCGTGATGTGTTTTTCTTCAACAGCGGCACCGGCGCCGATGGTGGAGCCAAGGCGGGCTTTAATCCCTTAGGCAAAGAAAGTGAGATTTTAGAAATGGCGGTGGTGGCGAGAGGTTTTAGAGATCCGAGTTCCTTAATTAAAAATTGATTTTCAAAGTTTGATCATAGCCTTGTTTGAGCCCTATTTTTGGACAAAAAATGCATTTTTGAACGGTGATTAAAAAGTAAAGAAAATATGTGGTTGAAAATGATTTTTTTTAAAAATGGGGGAAAATGTGTTATTTAGAAATGGATTGAGAGAGAGAGAGAGAGATTTTAGGGTTGGAATAAAGCGAGTGGCTATGGCGGCTGTGGTGATGAATGGTGGTGGTGGGAAAGAAGAGAAGGGGGAAGAGGAATTTATTTTTTTATTTTTTTTAGTTTGGATTTTAAATTATTTATTTGTAATTTTTTTTTAGTTTTTGGGATGATAGTTGTAATTAGTTTTTTTCTTCTTTTATTTATTGGGGAGGATATATTCGTTATTTTACAAAAAAAATTTATTGAGAAAATGAACGACATGGGGTATTTCACACTAAAAATCTTTCAAACGGGGCAGTTTTGTGCTATTTCCAAATGGTAGGAAGTTTTCGACGGATTAACCAATATGTATGGGATATTGTAACCTTTTTTCCATGAACGTTTCGTATGATTACAAGGATCATTCGACCACACGCGAACGACAATTATCACCAAAGTGGTAATTCACAATTTAATTTTATTATAATAAATTTCTTATTTTTTATTATTAAGTTCATAATTTTTTAAGAAGGAAAATAGAATTATCATGTATGTAGTGGTTGATTTTAGTTTATTAATGAATTTAAACATGCAAAACTATAGAACGTAGTTGATCATTTATACTAAAGCTAATGTATAATTGGGATATACTTCAATTCCATCAAGACAAAATTGAAGTCAAGAATGATTCCTCAAACTTATTCAAATCTATGAAATTGTTGAGGACAAGCTAGAATAGTCAAGATTGTAATATTTAGAACATATTTAGAATGTGATTGTGATGTATGCCGTTCATGCTATCAATTGAAGAATTTTGTCGACTATGGGAAGAAGGATATGAAGTTCCAGGTTCGAGATAAAGTTTTTCTAAAAGTATAGCCTATTAAGTGCGTACTTCATTTTGGCACAAGAAGAAATCCGATATCTCATTTCATTGGACTCCAATTGAAAATTTAGCACACTGTTTCACATTACTGCCCAAGCCATCTGCGGTGCACAATGTATTTCACATGTCAATAATCAGTATGTGCATGACCCTGGTCATTTTGTAAGCTAGCAATAAAATGGAAGAAGTGCAAAAGGGACACCATGCCTAAATGTTAAATGGCTATTTTGCCCTTTAAAAATTTTGTCAAATTAAAATCAGACGTTTGACTTTTGATTAAAATATAGATTTTTATATGGAAATCCTTGGGATGTACATTTATTAATGGT